GTTTTCTAAATTTGACATCATATTGTGATAAAAAAAAACTTAAAGATAAAATTAAAGTATAGTGTTTTCTACAAAATACCAAATCTAAGCTTTTATTTGTGTTTAGTTTTCACACTTTATTTGGAATACAAAACAAAACAAAAAATGAATTCAACAAAAGAAAATCAATAAAAAAAAAAGAAAATCTTTTTATTCAGGCTAAAAAAAAAACTCTTCAAGCTCAACGTTTCCCCTCACTCAGGGTGATTTCACATTTTAAAATTCGGCAGTAAAACCTTGTGCATCAATAATGTTTTAGTTCTGTCGCAAATTGGTTTATTTCTTAGAAAAAACTGGTTTTAATAAAGGAAAAGGTTAAACTGACGGGAGAAGGCCGACGGTCTGATACAGGATGTAAAAATACACACAGACAGAATAAACAACTGCAATAATAATCTGGTCTTTTTATCCCACTTAGAAAGGATCCAAACTTTAAAAAATGGTTTTATAACTTAGAAATTATGTTTTATTCTTTGCAAAATGTGTTTTAACCAAGATGCTGCCAAAAGAAATCAGAAAACTTTAAAAATGAAAAATCGTTCTGATTAAATATGTTTTATGCAAAGATCCTTCAGAGGAATGAAAAACCAGATTTGTACAAAAGTTAATGAATAAAATGAAGCTCGTCGTGTGCACGGGAACAAAGCTGAGCTGTACAAACAGGACTATGGACTGTAAAGAGTTGTATGAAAATAGACATCTACAGTGGATTTGCTTTAAATACCTTTGAATAAAATCAACCACTTTCTGTCAGGATGTTGTAGAAAAGGATAAATGAAATGAGAACGTGACATCACCTCTGATGGGGAGTTTTTGGTCTGATTAGATACTGAACCACCGAGTCAAACTTTTTTTATCTGTTTGTATTTTGACTCTGAGTCCCCTGAAAACATCAGTGACATGATTATTTTTGGCCTCACCGTTCATATGAAATCCAAAATAAATACATTAGTGCAAAACTCACTGTGACTCCACGTTTCTCTCTTTAGCTGTGTAAGAATGTGAATTTCCACACGCCGTCACAAATCTTCTTTCAAGCAAAAATATAAACAAGTCTTGATTTGTGTAGCTTTTTGTTGCCGATAGCTAATAATAAAACTAAAATATTAGAAACAGTGATAACGTACGGAGCCCGCGAAGGGACATGGGGGGATTTCTTTCTTTTGCGTTCCCT